ATCTGCTGAAAGGCAACATATTTGAATGTGTCTCAAGGAGCTCTGGCCCTGAGAAACTCAGTGGTTAATAGTCTCCAAATATTCCAGATCTTTTTAATGAGCCAGAAATTGTACTATGTAAACAGTGTTTAGATGATTTGAAAGAAGCGCCAGATCGTTTAACAGTCCAAAGCATCTAGGAGCTGTGCAAAATATTTCATAACCACAATGAAAGAACAGAAAGCAGCACTTACATCCATTACACCTACAGATTTAGCATTCCAGCTTTTGTTTGGAAGCAGATGCAATCATCTTAAGAACTGTCTTGAAGAGAAGCTAAATCTAATTTGACAATAATTTCTAGAACTATACATAAACTGAGATACCTAAATGTTCTTTAGCTGCTCAATTAAAGTTGAAGGTGATGTTTTCTTCCTATGCATTTTATTAAAGATTGAGGAAGGAGACTCTGATAATAAGAGTTCAGTTTACTGGAAACATACATGTAGTAGTGTTCATTTCTGCACACATGTTTTAATATTCACGCAGGGTATGGGCATAGCAACCTTTTGACCGAATAGGAAGTATCTAGGGGGCCACAGCATCACTAGGTTTGTCAGGTTCAAAGCTGGAAAATCACTCAGACCAAGAGCCAGGTCCATGTTCAGATCTACCTACCCATCTCGCAACCACCCCAGAAAAAACCCCAATGGCTGCTTCTCTGAGGTCAGAAAGCAACCTCAAGGAAGGGGTTTAGTGCGTGTCCCAGGGAGGAGGGAGATTGCCTTGCTAAGATATGATGTATGTTGGTAGCATTCCAGTCTAAAGCATTGCAGTTATGCCAAAATCGGTTGTCTAGCTGTTTTCCAGGCAACTTTCCCCTTCGTGCTTCCTCTACTCTAATAAGATGCATGTAATTCATCAAATTCAGAGGGTCATGGGCATCCCCATAGGATTCCACCACTGCTCATTTTGCTAAATACATAGATACAAAGAACAAGGTTGCTATTGCCATCCCTGCCAAACCATGAGTGACTAAGCTGCAAGCCAGCATCACCTTACTAGTCTACTCAGACTTACAAATAGATAATTTCATGTTCATTACACGCGGTTTAACATTAAAAACTCTTCTTAAAAACCATTTGGTGGAACTGCAAAGTTTGTTCCAACCAACATGCAATGATATCTGTATACAATTTACTGTCAATCTGAAAATTACCTTGATTTCTTAGGATCATGTTGTATTTCATTTTTGGCCATTTGGAAACACATTGAGCATATTTTAATTACTCTTCAATTAACAAGTTTTCTAATCAAGCGTTTTTATCCATTTTTACTTGGTAACAGTCCAACTTTTCAGCTGGACATACACCAAAGTAAGCTTATCAAGTTTGCATTGTATATGCATGTCACTACAGACTACTGATAATGGCAAATAATATATTGTCCCTTTCCCCTCTGTCTTCTAGAAATGTTTCTGAATAGGCCTACATTTCTCTGCTTCTGAAGCTTGACTCCCATTTCCCCTGTATTAGGTTAAGTAGGTATGTTCAGAAATCACACCTAACAGGTCATCCCCAGCCCTGATTGGTCAGTCTGAACACACTTTCTGGGAGTGACCTAAGCTGGTTGAAACACTGTTTTTCTTTCTGGGCTTTTTTTTTTAATTATTTATTTATTTATTTATTTATTTATTTATTTATTTGAGGGGTGAAAACTCTTCGCTTGCCTTTGGGTCAAGACTAAACTGGTCTGCTGTGTTCCAGGTAGGCATCAACTCTCTCCAACATGCAAGCTGCTTCGATGAGTCAAACAGATTTTAGCCAGTTAATTCTGTTTTGTGTTGTTTTAAAAAAAGCATCTGTCTATTTCTAAACTTCTTCCATACACTGGGTTATTGAAAAGAATATACTCAAATAGAAACTAGAGTTCTTAGTGTTATTTCCTAACCTGAGGGTTGGTTCCTTGGCCAATATATTGATCTGGTTTATTAGTCATTTAAATAAAGTTCTGGAAAGGGGACTTATCCTTTTCCATAAATATAAAACAAGGCTTCTCTCATGTCCAGGATATGAGGGTTATTAGCCATGAAACTGGTGGTATGGCACAACGAAAGGTGTCTTCCAGCTTGTCCCAGCTTGCAGGGTTGGAGATTGAGTCTCCCATTTGTCACAGTCTCAAAGTCAAAAATTATTCATAACCTTCTAGAAAGAAATATTAGTACAAGAAGGTATTAGAATAACAAACATTCCAACATTCTTTTAGTATATGCTTGAGATGTGAATCAAGAAAAACTTAGATCAAATGCCATGAACTCCTTACAAAGGCCTAATCACAACCCAAAAATAATCTTTGCAAATGGGGATAACAATACTGCCTAATATGCAGGGTTGTTGTAAGAATTATGGATCACAGAAGCACTTTAAACATGTAGAAATCATTATACTGATGTCAAGTATCAAAGCTGAAGTGCAGTCACCTATGAGGCTGTAACACACCATTGCAACTGGACATCCAGATGCCTAGCAGCCAATCAACAAAATAACAATTACAGACAACTCCTCCCTCCAGCTAAATTCCTATGGATACTTTCCTTTTAAAAATAAAAACACGTTTTATGGAGTGTGCATGTTCACAGAAAAAAATATTAACAGGAAAATTACAACAGTATAAATAATCTCATGTTTAAGAATACTTAAATGGAGCCAGTGTTTTGTTTTCAGCTAATCTGTTACACACATCATACGCTTAATGTGATCAGACCTAAATAAATTACCATTGCCTAAAGAGAGACATGCTGTAGCTGACAGAGGAAGCAAAGGGACAGTGGGAGAGGAAATCACACATTTTAATTACTGATACTGCTTGGAGCAATTTATGCTCCACTGGGCTTTAGTATGCAGGAGGGTATACTTTCTTGTTGTTCTTTGAGAAACAGAAGAAACTTTACACATGTACACAGAAATGTAACACATTCATCTTTATGCGAATATACTGAAATGTAACAGATACTGTTATGTAGTCTATAATTTGCCTAAAATCTTAACCAGCAAGAGATGTCGAGACTTCAAAAAAGCAAACTGCACATTTGTTCCAAGTAGAATGTCTACTGTCAGCCAAAATTTGTGGTGTTTGCTTCTTTCAGAAAATGAATCTCCAGAATAGTTTTATAAATTCTGCTGAGTTTAAGAACCCAGTTTGGAAATGCATCGCTACAGCTCTTGCAGAAAAAAACTGGGCTTGCATGGTCTTGTTTCCTCTAAAAACAACCACACTAATTCCTTAAACACAGTTTTACCTTAAGAGAGTTTAAACAGTGGAATAGAAAAGGTAAACTCTGAAAAATGAAACAGATCTGTGGAGATAACCCTTCTGAAAATATTAAGGAACATTATTTATTTTTACAGAAGGTAACTACTAACAGGGAGAGGGGCATTGTCATCACCACACTTGTAAACCAAAGTAATTGTAACATCTGAAATATTGCTATTAAAACAGTGGCTCAACTTTTCTTTATCTTTACAGTTTTCAAGTATGTTCTACTTGAAGAGAAAGTAATTAAAATATGCATACGTGTGCCTAAGTATTATTTATTTACATGAAACGGAAAATGGGTGGAGGAAACAGATGGAAGAGGGCCTTATTTTACAACTATCTTTGTCTTGATAGAAAGCACCTCAGCAAACTTCACAGAGTACCAACTTTTCCCTATATAATCCTACAACCTACAGCAAAAAAAGTCTAAAAATAAAGAAGCATTCTAAAATTCCGAAAGGGTTCCATACTTGAAGCCACTTTAAAGCATGAAGCAAAGGTATTGAGCATAGTTCCTCAAAGAGAATTTATTTATTTGATTTATTGCTATACCACCCCAGAGATGAAGCACTTAGTCAAATTTAAAGAGAATCCCATGAATTAATACTGGCATATGGTACAAATGAGTCCAGATGTTTCCTACAGAAACACCAAATGCTGATCTGGCTGCTTGGATCTTGCCCATTTAACAAGCCACAAGAACTTAGGAAGAAACTGGGCCATACCAGCAACTTTTTTGTGACTCATTAATACTTAAAACTTCAAATAGTGTCAGATCACTATGATAGACAAATGCCAGCCTATCAGTGACATTAACCTGGCTAATAACGAGCAGGTCTTTACCCTAGCTCCCTCTCTTCCCTGTAAATGATTCACTTGTGCTTATTTCCAGCCACTTCAGCCTAATCGATTGCCTTTCCGAGGAAGAACTCCGTGCAAATTTAGACAGAAAAAAAGTCATGCTGGGAATTGTAAGCCCTTTCTTCTGTCTAAATTTGCACATAATTGTGTCTTCGGTGACTTGGCATGATGGTCCCCTGGCTACCTCATAAGCCTTCTGAAACACTAAGCTAACACGATGAAACCAAAAACATTCTGCTTCATACCTTGCCCCCTTCAAATGATCATGGATTAAAAAATCTTCTTAACAATGCTGGCATTTTAAAGACTATCCTATTCAGTAAATCCACCTGAATCTTTCATGTAAATAGCAATTTATTGCTTTCAGCTCTTTATGCATGCTGTGAATTATATCCTTCCACAACACACTTAGAAACAAACCTCCAATTAAGTTTCTTGTCAGGCTTGATATTATTGTGGGTATCTTGCATTTGCTGTGAATTAAAGGATGTGTGCAGAGTGTATAATATGCAAGAGCTCTGAATGCACAGGACATTCTCAGTGTCAGGCAGCAGGCTTCACCACAGGTGGCCACAAGAAAATGAGCCAAGGGAGATCAAGCGTGCTACATCATCAACATATACTAGGCCAAGAAGAAATGCCAGGCAGGAATGACAAAGACTAAGGCTGACAGCATATTCAACACAATATGTATCAAAGGTTCTGCCAGAATTCCTCATCAAAGAACTTTTTAAAATGTCCTATAAATTAGATGGCTGTTCATCAGCTTGGAATACTGTATGGCACAAAGCACAGAAATTGCGGGCTTCTGTCACCCCCAACAGCTGGCAAACTGCTTTACTTACCAAAGGCAGCTTGTCCTTGCTCCATGTCTTCCTTCAGTCTCTTGTGACTTTCTTTCATTCTCTCTAGGTTCTGGGCATTTTGAGAACTCAGCAAGGACCATTCACTGAGAAGTTTCTCCAGCCGGTCTCTTTCAGCCATTAACGATTTAATTTCTTCTGCAAGGTCTTTCGCAATGCAGAAATTACCTCCTGTGGATTCATTGGAAGAACATTATACAGAGAGAAAGCCAGAAAAGCAACAAAACATTGAAACCTCGAAGTAAATTATTACTAAAATCTATCATCATCATCATCATCATTTCTGTAATATATATTCAAGACATACAAACTGAGTGATGAACATTCAAGAAAATCTATATCCATTACTTAAATCCTGTGTAATGATTATAACATAGTTCGCTCTTCTCCTCTGATTGCTATACTCCTACTTTCTTTTTAAAAAAGTGATGCAGGGTAGTAACATGCTCAGCATGTAATGTTTAAAAATGAAGTACAAATAATTACCTACTGGCTGGATCATCACCCTGCAGTCCATCACATTGCAAGTAGCTACAACTAGCTACTGACACAAGTAGTTATTGCCATGAGTCTTTTCTGTGATGTACCAAGCTTATATTACCTGCACACATGCACATGAATATGTTCTTATAGTCAGCAAGAGTATTCCAAAGTGCTGGCTCCATACATGGCTCCTTTTTTCATGTTGCTGATATTCCCTACTCCCTTATCCAGCAAGCATCTGACATCTGAGACAGCTGTTTAAGAGGACAGTGGAGCATGCTGTCCTGTCACCACTGTTGAAATAAGATGCCACTGTCTGCCTTGTGTACATGCCTGGGGAGGAAGGGATCTTAAAATCTGTCTTATGCTGCAAAATATCTGGGGCCAGCCCTGACCACCACCACCCCAAATCCCTTGCCTCCCACTCCTCCATACTTCCCTCTCCGCCCACCTGTCCCCTCTACCAGCAGTGGGCAGCAGCATGGCCTCTCTAGCATCTTCCTCCTGCCGCTTCCCTGAAGGATCTTAGAGGGGCTGGATGCAGCAGCAGATTCTCTGGATCTACTATCCAGCAGCCCAGGAGTGCTGCCTGATGGCCAGAAAGCCGTGTTTGTGTTTCCTTAGTCATGCGGTTCCGTCCCTCAGCAGGACTGGGGATAGCACCTGTGAGCTGCCTTCTACTGCTAGGGTTATTCCTCCGTAAGCCCTTCAAACATTAATTCTTAATTAGAAGTTGCAGCTTAATCATTCTTCTTATTTTTAAAGCTAGGAAGATGCCACCCCATCTATTAACATTTCATGCCTCCTGGATGATTACTAATTCCCAGAAGGAAGGTTAATACCAAAATTTGAAGCTATGATGAAAGAAGCAACATATATCAGTTAATAATGTATAAGCATTTTTGCCTCTAATAGATGCCCATGGGGCAAATCTGCTCCACGTAGCCTTATTTTTTCCTGATGAAGGGAATGTGCCTTCAAGTCTGAGATGAAATATCAAAAGCTCATCAAGGGATCAGCACACACCACTCTCTTAAAGTGCCAGCGGTGAACTCCTGACCTCAATCACAGTAACTTAAATTGGCACTTTCTAAATGTCACATGAGACTTGCATTTTAGAAGATATATAAATCTGCCTCACTGTCCAAAATCACAAAATAATGATGGTGTTCTGGATAGACAAGGTAATTTTTGGTGGTGGAAAATATATTCTTCATGGAAAACATCTAGTTAATAAAATTTAATTACTACAATTTTTCATTTTCATGACAGATTCATGTTTTATGTAAGCAGTGCATTGTAATTTATTCATTGCTTGACTTGCTTGTTTCAACATCTCCACATTGTATCAACACAGATACTACTTGTCAGATCTTGCAAGGTAAGCATCCACCTTCTTCCAACATTTGAAAAGAAGACATCTTCCACAAAATCTGAGAAAGCTGATGAAGTGATACACAGCTTTTTTGAAAATGGCAAGAACTATGTTTCAGAAAATTATGCTTCCTTGATTAACACACAGGAATAGATTGTAATCACTATCAACCTGAATAAATTCCAGAGAAAATATCTACAGAAAGTGACCTGTAGCATAAATGCTGCTATACCATTCTTCACTGTGTGAGAAACAATCACCCACTTATCTAAATTTTAACAGGAGCTAAGTAAATATATCCATATGTATGGATACAGAAATAAATATGTACAGATACATAAGATAGGGTAGTTTATGTTCAAATTTTGTAGAAACACAGTAGGATACCCAATGCGATGGCACCACTTCCCATGAATATGTATAGCTAGATGTATTTAGTTCTAGGCTACTGATCATGCGGTAAAAACAATCCTCCACATCTATGCCCTCAGGATTACATCTACCAGAACTTAACTACACCAGAGGCCTGTGCTCACAGAGAACCATTTCACTGTCGAAATTATTGTGTATGGGCATTCTAGGGCGATGTCTCAAACAAATTTCTCCAGTTGATCTGGTCTGTAAGAAAACATACCTATGTGTGTAAATTTTTTTATACAGAAATTGTAAAATTCGGTGCACAATGTTAAACAGTAATTTTAAATAAAACTTAATGCTTTGTATTATATCAACTGCAGGAAAAAAACAAACAAAGTAAATATTCATTTATCTCCTAAAGCACTTTATTGCAATCAACTGTGTCTGATACAGAAAGGTACTACACCTAAGTCACTATCCTGAAAATTATATAAAATAAGGATGACTTTTTGTTATCCAGGGTGGTCTATATTCAGGAAAAGGTTCCAAACATTCAAATGTTCTAAATGATGCCGAACATTTAAGAGGTTACATATTTAATACATTATTGAAGATTGTGTTCAATGAAGATTTGATCTTTGATCTTTCAAGATTTAGCAACCAGCTGTTGTTTGAGAGTGTAAACAGAGCAACACTATCATAAGACCACAATCACATTTCTAAAATGTAAAGCTATCCATTTTTCTGTCACTGTTAATTACCTTTAAATGTGTCACCACTACAACACTGTAGTGATGCACAGATTTTAGAATACTCTCCCAAGAGCAATCCATCTGGTGCTCTTCTCTCTTACAGAGAACAAATGAAAATAATTTTGTTTGCAAATACCTTAGTGGGAAGGGAATTGGTAGGTTTAGGATCTTTTTGCAGGCTTTTGTTTTCTATATTAGCAACAATTTGTTGCTTCTGTAATTTTATATGTTTTTATTGTTAACTCTGTAGACTTCTTGGGTCCTTTTTAATGAAATGTATGGATAAATAATTAAATTAAAAATAATGGATACATGAAACGAAAAGTAGCCTGCAGATTTGATGGATGAAGGATACATCTGGACACAGGAGACTCTGAGCTCTAAGCCATTCACAAGTCTGCACGATGAAGACCTACATAATTCTGCTGAAGTAAACTACACATACAATTCAACCATGCAATCCGCCACTCGGCAGGATGCCTTGAATAAATAGCAGTCTCTCTTAGGCAAGCAGCTGAGTGGCAAACTGTTTTCTGACTGCCTCCACCCTGACTGGCTATCCATTCATAATAATAAGTGCACGTCCACACACACGCAAACGCACACACACAGAGCATACCAAACACTAATGCATGATACTTTATCAACAAGTGATCCTATCTAAAAGCATGCAGAAGATGAGAAGGAAAATAAAAAATATCCAGGAGTAAATCTCAAATGTTATTGGGTCCTATGCAATTCAGACCATGAACTTACCCCACAAATCTTAACTATCTACCTCCCTATAGGTGGCTGATGCTCCCCAAAACAGAAACATCTTTCAGGGTGTCTGTAATGGGATCACAACAATGATCTAGGTCTGGAATTAGCCAAGTTCTTCATACTGGAAGCCAGTTTAAGAAGGAATACTGGTAACCAGGGGAAATGTGTGTGTAGCTCTTGCAAATTAAACCACCTAGAATACTGCCATCTCATAAAAAGAGCACAGTCACTGAACCAAGTCTCCCACGTCCCTCCACGTCCAGCCCATCTGAAATTACAACTCTTCTTTACAGAAAACTACTGAACTGGACTGAGGGCCCAATATGTTACATTCAGCGTATGGCTGATTAAATGTGGGATTACATCGCGCTGCATGTCTTGTGCAGTGTGTATCAAGGACCAGGGTTGCAGCTAAGATTCTGTCAACCCAAATCTCCTCTGGGAGACCCAAGAATCTCCCATTCACAGGCAAAACTTTTCTGAGAAGATCGAGCGTCAGCTCTAAGGGAGACAGCTGTGATAAGAGCCCTGGTGGGCAGCCGAGAAGGTAAGACCCAGCAGAGAAGCAGGAGTAGGTGCCGAGATAAGTAGTGGTGAGGTTATAGATGAGAAGCACTGAAAAATAATGTCCGAAGTTGATGGGAAAGTTCCTCATTTCATTTTAAAATACAAAGTATTATCGCACGACACTATGCATGCTAGTTAGGGCAAAAAGCACAGCCCATTCGGCAAGAATAAAATAGGTCACAACAATGTTATTTGATGGAAGGTTTCTTGAAACACACCTTCATCATTTGCCTAATGGAAAGATTTTCCTCTTCTCAGGTCTGCAAATTATAAGCATAGCTGTACATTATTCTTTTTTTTTTCCTGCCCCTGTATTTTTTTAAAACAGGGGAGCACTGTAATCCAAAGTCCATGACACAAAAAGCAGTTATGAATTTTTAAAATTGTTAGCTTATTAGGCAACGAGCTTCTTATTCACGTATCAATATTTTGCTTCTGAACAATATGTGCAGGCGCTCTCAAGAGAAATAGCTCTTTTTCTGCCCACATTAGCTCTTTATTTATCTGAATAAATAGAAGCTGGCAACACCTGTATTCCGCTGAGAAATGTCATTTATACCAAATTCATGTTAATTCCCCTACATCTTTGTGTTCATTTGTTTATGAAACAATGCCTCTGTAAACCAGAAGCATTAGCTCCTGATCTCCTTACATTCAGGTTATGATGAAAACATCATGGAAATACAATGTTATTGCATCATTATAGTTTATCCAAAATTACCTGATACAGCAAGCATTTTGGCTTCAAGAAGAGCTGGTAGCTGAGTCTCGATATCACTCACTTTCCTCCTTAAAATGCTGCATAGCTTTTGACTGGTACAGATCTAGATTGACAGCCATGATATATAATTAATTCATGTAAAAACATAAGGAAATATAAAAGGCACTTCAAATTGTCTTGGTTTACAGACATGACATCATTACCTAACAAGACAACAAAGGCTAATAAAAAGTGATGTGTGATATTGCTGCAAGACACCATTATAATTCAGTTCAATGGCTTTGCCACACAAAAGCAGATACCTAACACAGGAGAAATGAATTAGAAACAAGTAGTGGAGCAGATACGCTGGGATTTCCTTTCAGGCAGAAAGTTCAAGCACAGCAAACCAGTGCAGATGTTTGATTTTTGTTTCAATAGCTTATTGATAGCCAATAGCCATGTTCACACAAGACACTAAGCCACCCTACAAAAATGCTATGTGTTGTCTCTAGACAGAGTATCAGAACCTGACAGATGATCTGTGACTTGCTCTACCACTCCTTTACCCTCAGTCCTTGAGTCAGTATCTCAGTGTTCCTTGCAGCAAACTCTGTTTCGGATCCTCCTCCCTTCTCCAAGTGTCCTCCTCTTCTGTTCACCATGGTTTGTTATTCTTGAAGCCTCAAAAAAGTGCAACCGGGACTGCATTTCTTGAACCTTGAAAATTGTGCAACTGCATTTGTACTTTATTACTGTTATTATGGTCAGCCTTTCACAGTTGTGCTTTTTATAGCTGCCCAGTATGTGTATGTGTAGTCTTGTCTCATCAATTTCCATTTATGTTTCGGCTGTCAAAGTGAGCAGTAAGTAGAATAAGTAATCTGAATAGAAATTGACAAGGTGAAACTTTATCTAGGGTAATTTATGCACAATTGCCAATGGTGTTGCTGTCACTTGAAAAGCACCAGTAATGGGACAGAAGCAGCAAAAGAAATTGTACTATAAGTGGGGGCTAGGAGAAGACAGTAACTTCTTTGTTGCAATGTGATTCTGTGGGTTTTAAGTGCTGAATAAAGTAAAATGGGCAAACATGTTCAGCTTTTAAGTGCTGAATGGGCAAACATGTTCCTTGGGACAAAAATGTAGCCTATTCCTGTTATAGAACATAGTTGTACAAACTGCTAGGTGAAAAGCCACAAGTAGTCCATGACTTCTTTTTTATTTGGGTTTGTTTTTCCCCCAAAAGGTTTTCTTTTCTTTTCTTTCTTAAGAGTAGGAGACAAGAGATGGAGATACAGGAGCCCAATCATCATATGGTCATCTCAGAAAGCATAAAAGAACAGACAAGTGTCATTAAAATTTAAGTGTTGTAGGCTGGGATTAAATATTAATCCCAGAATGAAAAACAGCTTACTATAGTATTTTCACTGAATGGCTTCTAGGGGCAGGAAGGAAAGAAAATGGTAAAAATATGCAAATTTCAAGCAAACATGAACTGTGTTTACAAGGACAAACAACTTACAGGAAAATAAATATAAAAACAAGACATAGCATTCTACGTATACTAGCTTTTTATATTAAACACAAGGGATACAGTTCTGAATTCAGGAAATTAACTAAGAATTCCAAAGTGCATCAACTTCTATATTCTGAATTTGGATTAAAAGTTTTCTACTCTGTCAGAAATAGTACACTGCAAAAATTGAGCAGCATTTGTATTAGATGGAAATTAACCATCTTGTATTGTTAGAGTAAGATAAAAATACAAGTAAATCTCTGAAGGCCAGATCCAAAATGAAATTTCAAGTGAAAATTCCAGGTTTGATATTCCTTTAGTCAACAAATCTATCCTTCAAGCTGTCATTGTTTACTATATAACTAGATCCTAAATCATCTTATTAAATTGTGATGCTGGGTGTTATTGAATTATTTTAAGTTTTTGCTGAAAGATTTTCCATCTAAATGTCCTAATAATAGTATTATGGTCATGACACTGTCATAAAATGTGCTTGTGTGAGCCTTAAAGAAACTGAAGATGCTTAGGTTTTTTCTCTCTTCAAGTCATCAATAATACCCTCCTTTTTGAAAGAGGGCATGTTTTCTTGAATATATCATCCTCCTGTATATACTAGCTATCTGCAGAAACTGAAGAAAACTTTGCTAAAGCCAAGCCTACCTTAAGCAAGGCAAAGAGATACAAGCAAAGGCCACCTGAAAGACAGGGCACTAGTCTGTATTAGATATTCATTGTAATTAGACGATCATAAAGTACTTATGTTAAAGATACTGCATTCCCAAATCTAGGCACATCCAGTAGAACTTACATAATTTTAGCTTTACAGAATCAAGCCCAATTACTGTTAAATCTCATACAATATTGACATTATTACATTTAGCTATCTGGATGGTATAAGCAAGGGACAGCTTTAGGAGAATAACAGATACAAGGGGGGACCAACCCCCCTAGGAATTATCTTCTGGAGGGTGGGCCCCTTGTAGTACAGGCTTCCTCTGCTAGGCCAGTCTTCTAGGAATCCATCTGCATCAGTGTACCCAGCTGGGTTGATGTGAGAGGCTGTGTTCAGTTTCAGTGAGGGTTTTTTTTTGGGGGGGGGGGAGAGGGGGAGACTCTTTCAACACATTTGCCGATTTTGTGATGGCAAAATTGGATTTACACAATGTGCAGTGGTGAAATTTTGTTCAGCTGAGTGTTCAGCAGTTTTTGACCAAAAACGGTCCCTGTGCCCTTCCCTCCCTATTCACCTGACCTCACCCCATGTGACTTTTGTTTCCCCAGATCAGGGGTCAGCAACTCATGGCTCCAGAGCCGCACGTGGCTCTTGAATCCCCCTGCTGCAGTTCCGTTGCTCAAAACACACGCCGGCACAGCTGCTGATCTGCTCCAAGTTACAAAATACCAATAGGTGATGATGAGGCATCCAGTCAGGAACCCTGCGCTAGCTGGTTAAGTAAATAGCTACATTCCTCTGCTATTGTGCAGGGAAAGAGTGGAACAAGCTTCCTGCAGGCCCTCATGTTACTCAAACCCTGCTGAAAAGATTCTCTTTGTCCAAATGTAATCTCCTTCCTCTGAATGATAAAAGCTGGGCTTGGGACCTGTCACAATTCACAGCACTTGACTGTTTATCTGCTAATCAGTCACTAAACACACCTATATCTGTGACTCTCCCCACTCCCCCAGGCCAACCATGGATAAATTGAAGAAAAGTTTCTGAAGAAAACCAAACGTTTAATGAGAAGTGGGTAGATTCATTTGCTTTTACTGCTGACGAACTTATGGGGTTTGCTGTTTAATGCATGCAGCCCTTTAGCACTGACTTTGACTCCGCAGGAAGCTGTTCTCCTATTCAAAATATATGACAGGAGCCCTACTAGTTTATAATGTACGATTAAAAATAACAGTTTTTAGTGACTGAACAAGAGCTGCAGCTAAATCATAATGAAGATCTACATAGCATTAAGGTAAAAAATACTATATGCAGTGTTATCTTCATTTTAGATGTCAAAAGGGTTTTGTGGCTCCTTTTGTGTTTTCTTTTGTGTGGGAAAAAGGTCTAAATGGCTCTTTGAGTGTTAAAGGTTGCTGACCCCTGCCCCAGATGAAAAAGTCTCCAAAGGGAAATATTTTGCTGATGTGGAGGAGGTGAAATAAAAAATGGCAAAAGCACTAAAAGGCATCCAAATTGACATGTTCAAAACCTGTTTTGAGTAATGGGGAAAAAAAGCCTCAATAGGTATATTGCATCAAATGGAGAGTACTTTGAAGGTGACTGAAGTTTGAACATGTAAAAATAAATACATGCTTTTTCTAAATAAATTCCTTTTTTGGGGGTGTCCCCCCTCATATTTAATCAATTAGAGTAGTCCACATTGTTTCTGTTGCTTGAACACCATCACTGAATGCCTTCCTTCAGTTAACCATCACCACCTTGACATTTAAGGAAGCCAATATGAGCAGAACAGTGCAGTGCTCCAAGCCAAGAGAGCTCAGCTCAGCACAGCATCTTATCTGTCTGTAAGGTTAATCAATAGCAGCCGAAATAGAGAAAGCAGCAGTTCAGTTTAGAATATTAAATTAATTCATTCTTTCAAAATGCCATGCTATTTTCAGCATTTGCTGTAGCCATCATTTAGAAAAAGCAAAGTGATGGAAGCTTGTAGTGAATGCTTGATGCCAATGGCATACTGTTACTTGTCTGCCCTGCACATCCAAGTGAAGCACAGAGGTGTTAGTGCTTTATATTAGACCAGGCATGCTTATTCTTATGGGGATGGGGCAGTTCAGTTTATTGGAACAAGGAATGTAGCTTTTATTATCTTCACTCAAAACTATGCAGCATAAGTATTGAAGATTTCCTGTTTTCATGTAGAAGACGAAGAATTGACTAATTAGCTGAAGGAAGCCCTTATTAAAAAGCATAATACTTCATGCATAACTTAGTTCTACTGTGAGTATCTTTACGGGCAACTTCATCCAACACAAATTAGTGAACTGTGTTTCTGCTACACTTTCAAAATGAAATTGTACAAAAGATCAGGCAGCTGTTCAGTCCTAATACACCAGGTGTCTATTGCAAAAACTTTCCATGGGCAGCTATCACAACAAACAGCTTTTCAATATCCTCCATCAAATCCGAAATGGTGCTTCAAATGTTTACAAACAGCCCTAATGCTTTTTAGAAAGCAACTGAAGGAACATTCATGTTGCATCTGATCCAGCACAAACCAGAAGTCATTAGCGAGCCTATTCGGTGTGGTACATCTCCTCAGTGTTATCCAGGAGAGCTTTTCTGGGTTGCTCGAAACCTGCCGCAATCTGTTCTTGCAAACGATACAGTGGGACTGGTGAGAGCACACAGGCAACTTTGTGAGACACAGGACTCTACTGTGTCCTCCATGAAATTGCTGGGAGCAGGCAATCATCTAGAGATGTGGACTGAAGCATAACCAATCTGCAGATGGCACCAAAGCTGTACCTCTCCTTTTAACCTAATTTAGGTGGATCAGTAGATTACACCTGGGTATGGAAATGGACTGGATAAGGCCCAATAAACTCAGAATTAGCGGGATCTACCTGGAATGCTAAGAATGCTCTTTATCAGTATAGGCTGATCCAACAGTTAGAAACCTATCTGGACAGAGATAGCTATTCTGGTAAGCTCCTGGGTGGTTTTCTGCAATGAATTTTATCTGGGCTGCCTTTGAACGTAGTTTGGAAACTTCAGCTAGACTAAAACAGGACATGTGACTATTGAGCAGAACTATGTTCCTATATATCCCCTGCTTTGTGATCTGTACCGGCTTCCAGTCAGCTTCAGGCCAGCTTACTTGATGGAACATCTTCCCTTCCCTAAGTGGACCTTATGTAATAGTCTTCTGAGACTATTCCTTGGGTATTCCCATTAAATGAGGCAGAATGCTATGTTACTAGAGAGGGACCTTTTTCAATCGTCACACCCTGGCTATGGGATGCCATCCACAGGGAGTGGAGCACCTACAGTGCAAGCCTTTTAGCACCTTCTTGTTTCCCCAGGCCATTTAGTCCTTTAGTACTGAAAACCCATTCATGCTTTTCAGATCCATGAACTGCTGCTGTCATTTACCATTGGTTTTACTTGGGCCTAGGGCTACCAGCACCAAAATGGCCTTGCCTTCAGTGAAAAGAGCCAGGCCTAGTGAATGCAGCAGGTAAGCAGCAGGTACTAGTGTAATGAGTGAATGGATGAATGAATGGGCCTATTTTAGGTGAAGAAACTGGGAAAACCTGAAGAATGGTAAGGAGCAGAATGGGAATAAAGCTATGTTTTAGTTCTCTGAGAAATGCCAAACATGGCAGAGTAGTAGTCTTCAAAACTGATTTTTTTCAAGTGGAAAAAGACAGAAAGAGGGGAGGACCTTTCCCCTTCTAATCAACCCTAAAGGTGCCTAGTGCTCCTATTACCTGAACAGTTTTCCCTGTTCAGGATCTGTAGCATTTGTAACTGCTGTGTTCACAAGCAGATGAGACCAATCTATTCAGCTTTGTTTGCCTTGTCTTTTTTTAACTCTAATGTATGTATAAGCTACTGATTTCAAACTGGAGCCCATAATTCCATCCAGTTGCAGCAGAGAGGAGGAGATTGGAGAGCAGGTCCATCAGTTCAGCTGAGAGACCATTTGGTTGTTCTTTTCCCTAAAGAGTATGCTTCCATTCAGCTTCTGTAACATGAAGAACTGGTGCATGGCTGAAGTTGTTTTCCTCCTCCCTCTCCATTTTATGTCTTTCACATTTTATGGTAAGCTTGTAGGCAACGACTGTCTTTTTTGGTCATTATTTGTGTTGATCATAGGGATGCGGTGGCGCAAAACTGCTCAGGGACCATTTTCAGTTGAAGAGCAGGATAAAAGTGCTTTAAATA